AAAAAGAAGAAGAAGAAATCACAGGTTGAATTACTACACTCTGCACTGAATATGCATACATACTATGCTATAATACATGCATATGCAATAATATCCAATATTTTTCCTTTAATCTTTAAATCTATATAATCAAATGGGGGGGTTGTTTTGTTTTGTTTTTTGCTCTGTTTTGACAAAGCTGGGGTTCAAGCCTACCACTATATTTCCAACCCAGCCTGAGTCCTTTCTGACAGTGCTTCTCAAACTTCCTTGACCAAGTCCTGGAATAAAAAATACAAGTTACAGGGCTGGGGTTGTGGCTCAGTGATAGAGTGCTTTCCTGGCACATGTGAGGCACTAGGTTTGATCTTCAGCACCACATAAAAAATAAATACATAAAAATAAAGGTATTGAGTCATGTACAACTAAAAAAATATTTTAAAAATATGCAAGTTACATCCAGGTTTGGTGACACATGCCTGTAACTTCAGTGACTTGGGAGGCTGAGGCAGGAGGATTGCAAATTTCAGGTCAGTCTCAGCAACGCAGCTAGACTCTGTCTCAAAATAAAAATTGAAAAAGTACTAGAGATATATATAGCTCAGCATCTCTGGGTTTAATCCCCTGTACCAAAAAGAAAGTGGAAATTCAAGTTTCGTGAATACCCAGTGGACATGCACAAAAACATAATATCATTGAAATTTATATTTACTGTCTGTGATTTATCCTATTTTCCTTTAGATTCTATTTTATTTATTTTTTAAAATGCTTCTGTGACCCATTAAATTGACTTCACAACACACTATTGGGATACAACCACAGAACAGCAATATTCCACCTCCCAAGGTGTCATTCTTTCATACTGAACCTTCCATGAGAACAACCTTGCACTCTCGCCCACTATGCCTGTCAGGCATGCACCATGTGCACCATAGATATGCTCTTGGCTGCAAGTAACAGAAAACTGAGCCAGGAAGTGACTTAAACAGGAGGAATATTTAGGATCTCACATAACCAGAAGCCCCAGATCCTGGAGCTGACAAATCCCTCCATTCAGTGCCTCTGCTTTGCCCAACCCAGTCCCATGGCCATGGCCTCTCTGATGCTCCCAAGATGGCAGCTGAAGTTTTAACATCTCATATGGGGACATGCCCAGAGGCAGTAAAGGGGAGAGCACTGTTCCTCTCTCCTTTTTTTATTTTTGTCACCCTGCCCAACTTCCCCCTCACATCTCCCTAGACAGAATAGTCCCACATGTCCAAGACCTACCCAGATGCTAGACATCCAAGTTTTTCAAATCACTGAGACTGAAAAATAAATTTAGGGATCTTGACCACCATTTTTCAGGTAGAATGGGACCGAACGGGTCAGCATGCATAGATAGGTTAAGTATGGCTTTGTGAAATTGTTTCAGTCATATCCATATTAAAATATGTGTGTGCATGTGATCCTGGGTGATGATGAAAATGACCCTTCCCTTTTCCTACTGTCCCAGGATGGTGGCAAGCAGCTCCTGGAAGGCATGTCAGACAACAAGACCCTCCTGGAATTTGACCTCCGCCTATCAGATGTAGCCCAGGAGAGCGAGTACCTCATTGGCCAGGCCCTCTGTGCCAACCGGGAAGCTGCCCGTCAGCGGACCTTGAATCCTGGCTATTTGACATCTCCCATCATTGCCAATGACCCTGATCATTCTGTGGAATAAGAGGGGGGACAGGGACCTGACTTGGGTCATTACCTCAGCTCCATCCAGAATTTCATGCTTTTGCTGGGCACTCTGCTGCAGATGTCACAGTGGTTCAGAGGAAGGGGGAGGGGAGACCAATCCTTGAAGTGAGTGATAGAGGGTCATAGGCAAACTGATGGGAGATGGGGAGGGGAACTGGGATAGAGAAAGAAGAGGTATAAAGCAGACACCTAGTTTGGGGACCCAGAAAAAGGATTACTGGACCCCACGAATAACCAACTCCTTCCAGAAATAGGTAAGGCAGAGAGGACTCTGAGGACTGTGCCTGATTAGATTTTCTCCTGTGAGGGCTGCCCACCTCCCTGGCTCACCACTCCCATATTCCTCTCTGCTGCGCAGACCTGTAACCTTCAAGTACATACACACATTCTCTCCCTCTTCCTCTCTCTCACTCTCTCCTTTTCCCTCTCCTTCTCTCTCCCCTCTTGCTACAGCAGAATCATGTCTGGCTCTTTCTGCCACCTTCCTGTTGCCTGATTCTATAAGGTCGGGTTCTATAGGTCACACCATCCCCTAATCCCCAACTCTCAACTTGAGAAGGGGACAATGGGTGACAGGAGCTCAGACCTCCCTTGAGGAGGCAATCATAGAGAATGACTGCTGGTGAAGTGTGGTATTACTCCTGCCATCCACCCCAGGGAGCTTCTTGCAGGAGAAAGGAGATAGGGAAGGAGCGCACACTGGGAAAGAGAGGTCAGTGAGTCATCCGCAACTTTATTATCCACCAGTTTGATTTGTACAATCTTTGCGCTTGGATATCCACAACAGAAAGGCCACAGTGTGATGCACCCAATTGACAGAGACCTGTCTTCTCCCCAGCCAGGCCCAGCCCACCCCACAAGCCCTTGTCCCCAGGACCATGGAGCCTTCCAGGTGCTCTCCATGAATCCCCAGCACTCTGTGGCTGCCCAACCTGGGACCAAACCCACAGGAATCACATCAGCCCATGGGGCCACAAGAGGACCTGACTGATGGATTCAGGCTGAGCTTCATCCTCCATTCTCTTTGGGCTGAGTGGCCCAGAGCCTCCAAATCCATGTCCCCATAGGGCGGGCCATGGGCTACAACCACAATCCAGGAGTGCCTGCCTTCTAACAAACAGGCGCTGAGCAGAGCACCAAAGGGGGCTTGGGAGTGACTGCAGCATGTGCCTGTCTGGGCCACCTAAAGTCCTTCCATGCCTGACACCCTCTGACAGTTCCGGAGTGCAAACGTGTAGGTGTGAGGGTAGGTGTGTGTGTAGCCACAGCTGCTAGCAGAGGTTCTAATTAGAGAAACAAGAACATTCAGTGTAAAGTTTAATTTTAGAGATTAATTAATTTTCTGGTTTTCGTTTTCCCTGGCAATCAATAAAGTCACCAAGAAAATAGACCAAAGAATTGGTTTCTCTCTAAGTCTGTGCGTGTGTGGGAGCTGAGTCTGTGTGAGAAGACCTAGGCAGAAATGGTCCATTCAGGGGAAAAGTATAACAGGGCTCCTCTTCCCATCTTCTGAGGCCAGGCTGTGGTCTCAGGACTGGGCCTGAGGGAGGAGCCAAGTACCTCCAGCCTTGGAGCCACAAGGTGGCCAGGATGACCCCATATGAGGACAGGACATCCATGTGCCAGGCCAAGAACTGGGGCCTGAGGCCACAACTCACCACCTGTACCTCACAGATGTCCATTCAGAGGAAAAGAGGGTGTTCCTGCTTCCAGATCCCTGAGAAGCACAGACTCAGGGTCCAGGCAGGTTTCATATTGGCAGGCAGGTGAACATTGATGCCCAGGAAAACTCAGTGGGCAGCTGTTCCCTTCTGCCCAAACCTCTCCCTCTCTGACGTCCCCTCCCTCCTCACTCAGCTATCTATGTAATTGGAAAGTTCAACTCCTTAATGAGCCATGGGCTATGATGTCTCCACAATTTGTCCATTCCCTCCACCCCCATTTCCTCCTGGGAAGGAGGGAAGGGGAGCCAGGGTGATGTTGCATAGGTGGAGGCCACACCCCTCTATAGGGCAGGCCTGGCTGGGCTGGAAGAATATGGGAGAGACTGGAGGTGGAGATCTGATGGCTGAGGCAAAGCAAGAAGCAGCAGGGGTGGGCCCAGGGAATCCTGTCTAGGCTGAAAAGTGAGCTCAACCCTGGGATGCTAAATCTGCCGGGAAAACCTTAGCCAGGGCAGTTGGGAGGGCATGGGTTGTACAAGACATGCACACTGACACACACTGGAGTGGAAGAGCACAGGGGGACAGAAGTTGGTGTCAGAGCTTTAGGGGAACAGGACGGGAGGCCAGCGCCTTAGGGCAGTGGCAGGATGCCCTTCCGAAGACCCTGGAACACACAGCAGGGCTTCAGCTTGTGGGATAGAGGAAGATGAAGTGGTCAGGCAAGATTCAGAGAATTCCTGCCTCTGACCCTGCCACTGGAATTGAGTATTTCTCCAGCTGGGACTTATGACACCATCCTCAGCCCCAGAGAGGTGTGTAAAAGGGGCAAGCACATTCCACTCCTCCGCATGGTTCTGGGGGAGGAAAGGGCTGCCACCCAGGCACCCCTATCTTTAGAGGTCCTTTCACTGTACCCTAGGCTGCCCTCTGCTCTTTAATTCTTCTGCTTGACACACAAGTATCTCGTGGTCTCTCCACTTAGTCACTCACCCTGGCCAGCTCTAATGAGTATTGCCAGGGTGGCACCTGAGTCTCTCTAAAGGGAGCACCCGCCCAGAACCCAGGTGAGGAGGTTGCTGCTGGGAGGCTGCGGGAGTTTCCAGAGAGGACTGAGGCGTTCTGCCCTCTATGGCTCCCCTCCCCTCCCCCCTGCACCCTGGCAACAGCTCTTCAGAGCCAGGGATGAGTGACGTAGGTGTGGTGAGCACAGTCCCTCCAGGATCTGGCTCCTGGGGCTCAGTGAGATAAACAACAGCGGAGGGAGTGGCAGAAAGGAAACCCCAAGCTTTGGGGCCAGCGCCAAGAAAAGGACAGCAACATTTCCACGACGTGGAGATGGAGTATTGGGGCTGCCACCTGGCCCTGGCCTCAGACCCGCTGAATTCATTATCTGGTTGGAAGCCAGCCCTCGGGTTCACCAAACCACCGCCCCCTCAATAGAGGCCTCAGTGGGGCCATGAAACGGAAGAAGGAAAGCCCCAACTGCCCTTCCCCGCAGCCTCTACACCTCCCAGCTGCACTGCCAGAGCTGCTCCCTTGAGAGGAGGCCCAACAGCACAGTTGCCAAATAACAGTCAGGAGACCCGTTGACAGGCTGGACGGGAAATCTCGAATGTGCGTGTAGGAGGAGGAGGCATCTCCTTAGGAACTTGAGTGGGGCTGGAAGAGCGACTCTGCCCAGGTGGGTGGGATTTCAGAAGAGGTGCTGATCCCCTCCCACCCTGCTGTCTCTTTGTAGAGGGAAGGCAGGGGTCTCAGTCCCACCTGGGACCGTCTGGGCGCTCTCCCTTTACCCGCTTCCCGCTGTAACCCGCCCAGCCTCAGTCATCTTGTCTCCCCCTGCTATACGCAGGGAGCCCAGGCGGCAAGGGGCAGGAGGGAGGACATTGTGGGCCTCTCCAGGGCTGGAGGTCACAGTGAGGTCTCCACGCAGGAGCCGTGGCGGTGCAGCGGCCGATGGCTGTGGCCCAGACACCCCTCCTGCCTGTGGACGATGAGGACTGGAAAGTAGAGGGCGTCGTGATAGGGCGGCGGCGGGCCAGCTTCCTCCTCGTCGTCGTCTTCGTCGTCCCCCATGCTGGCCTGGCTCGACAGCCGCGTCTGCTCCGTGGGGCAGCTCGCTTCGTTGACGCTCCCGCTCCGGCTGCGCCACAGACAGCTGCGTCGGGAACCGTAGAGACGGCCGAGCGAGAAGCGACTGCCCCCGCAGCCCGCGCCTCCGCCGGGCCCAGGGCCGGCCCGCGGGCTGGCGCATATGCTCAGCGCGCTGCGTGAGAAGATGGACGAGCTGCTGACCGCGCGCTGGCAGTGCTCGCAGCTGCGCCGGTATGGGGCCACTCCCGCCGCGCC